TATATAAAAGTAAGTTAAAAGACTCCATTAGAAAATACCTTTACTTACTTACTCAAACGTTTATTAAAATGTATAAATTGTCGTTGCAGAAGAATCACTTTTTAGGATGAGCCTGAACCAAGCTGATATTAAAGCTTCCTCTAGCAAATCCTCCTTATAATGTGAAAAGAGCAAAGCTAGTGCCGCAAAAGCATACTTACTTAAAGTACGAAATAAAAATAACCGAGAAACTATGCAGCTATACGGAGAAATAAAATCAGTAGGGAGTATAGAGGGTATTTAATAAATACTATACGAATTTGGCATCAATTCAATTTTTGAAAATATTATAACTGCCTAAAACACAAGCGAAATGGATAACTAAGAGCCATAAAGAAGGAGTCATTATATGAAAGGAACCCACTTCTCCAACACTTGGATAATCAGTATAGTGAGCATCATGCCATCCTAAATAGGATAGGGATGCATTAAAACGATCAGCCCGTTGCTGCAGACGGCAATCGGTTGGGGGCGGTTTTACGAGCCCAGCGATACGGCCATCCCCAGCTAAGTGAAAGCCACCATCGGATGCAAGTAGTACAATTTTTCTGGCAGTAGCCCGCCATCCCACCTGGCCCTGACAGCGAGCCACTTGAAGCAAGGCATCCAAACCACCTTCGGGACTATCTAAATTTCCAGATGGCTAAAACAAAGAGATAGATTATTGACAAGCCAAATTTTTTATATGAGACATGTAAATAACTTACTCGAGTCAATTTGGTCTTCTCTTTGAACTCCTCAAAATTGTCAGTAAGCGACACAATATGTTTATATAAAAAAGGAGGATCACAATGCAATTGCTCATTGCCGACACTAAGACAAGGATTGCTCAAGTATTCTGGCGTCGGCACCACAAATGGAAAAACAGGCTTATCGACGAATGCTCCAAATCCAAGGCGTAGCTGTTTGGTTACTTGACGCATACTGTGAGCAATATCGTTGGTTAATGCAGATACCGTCTCTAAGTCGTCTCGCATAGTGTAGCTTAGATCAATTAGAAAATAAAGGTCAACGGGATAGTCAGAAATGGATTGAAAGGCAAATTCTGTTTCAAGTATATCAGCAGGACGAACATTCATAGATTGAGCTCGTGGAGTGAGTTGGATTTCGCCTTCATGCCCAGAAGGCTGTATTTCGGGGTTGGTTCCATCTATAAATAATTTGTGTAAATGGCAGCATTAAAAGAGAACAGGTAACATTGAAGCATCAGGTAAGAATGCGACTCGGGTGAAATGGACATCTAGTACTTAAAAACTAAAATCACCTAGTTGTGAAGGCCGTAATTAGACCTAGT